TTGTGTTTCGGTCTGTTTCGTTCTTTACTTGTTTTCGAAAGACGCACGACGACACAACTCCATTAACCAGTCGGATTTCACCGGAGTACAAAAGGGATACATGCCCGTGCGGCCCCCAACGGGGCATCCTGACGGCCGCAGCTGCTGCTGCGTGCGTATGCGCCGTATGTTGCTTACGTGATTTTGTCTTTCGATGTGTGTGTGTATGGCGGCGCAACACTACAGGACATGCTGTAGGAGATAAAGTAACCGTTTTCACTTCAAATATGGACGCACGCCATTTGCAATCACTTCACCTGTGCTGCGTGTTGCACCAAAGTTCAAATTGCAGTAGAACCGCAAGTCTCACAGCAAGCCCATCCTGTGTCTCATACCACGAGTAGCGCGTCCAAAGATAAGCACGCTTGATCCGCGCAATACCTCTTTTTCGAAGCGATAAGTACCTCTCTCGTCTCGGAAGCACTTCCGGACACAATACATGTGTACTCCTCGTGTTATTGTTCGTCATTGTGTAAAGTTTCGTGTCGATCGGATAGGTATAGGGCGCGTTCTCGTGTTAAGCTTGCCGCGCGTGCACACCACAGGAGGTTCGGCCGCAGCAGGGGCATGGATCACATTTTTTCGGCAGTCTCAGAGCCTGCGCCAAGCAGTTCTCGCGCTATACTCAACGAGATTCCGTGAAACCAGCTTTCCTGACTAGCTACTGGTCCATTTTACTGCTGTACGCCGACAAAGGTGGCAGTGCGGACGTCTGATCGCCGGTGGGCTAGCCAACCGCCATTTTTTGTGTTGAGCCGCTTATTTATTTTTTTTATCAGGCGTGCAACAATGGAGAACAAAAACCGAGCATATGGCACCCCCCCCCCAAAAAAAAGGTAATGATGCCCCATGATGGGAACCATGCAGGCCGCACACTTTTCATTTTAAGAACACGTGCATGCGGGCGCGGCCCGTCGACCCAACCCATTGTACTTCTGCGGCACCGACCTGTTCGAGATCTTCCCCAGCACCTCGTAGGGCATATGGTACCAGTCGGCCGTCATGTAGTCCGTGGTCTGCACGCATCGGATCGCGCACACCTTCTCGTAGGTTCTGCGGAGAAAATTCGAAAAAAATTCCAGGGCCGTCGACAGAGGAGAAAGCAGCAGCAGCGGCAGCGGCAGCGGCAGCGGAATACAGGGGAAGGAAGATTCGACCACCGAACGAGGAAGCAACGGCAGCGAAACACAAGGGAGTCAAAGGCAGGGTTGTTGGTATCCGTGCAGACAGACGCAGCAAGTGCAGTGGCAGCAGCAGCAGGATCAGCAGCAGCCGCAAGATCAGAAACGACACAAAGATCCACGGCAACAGCGGCCAAGCAACAGCCAAAGCAGCAGCATCAAGTTCCGCTCCGGCGACAACAGAGCAGCTAGATGCAGCATCGAAATCAGCACCAACAACAAGCTACAAAAAAACGTCCCAACGCCCCTGCGCGAACGTTCGCATCCTTACGGTAGGGTATCGACTGACACAAGCGCAAAGCCTGTTGTTACCTGCAGTGTCTCATCACTCTGCTGCTCTGAACGACAATCATTCGTAGGTCATCCCTTACTGCGAGCAGACGGACTCAACACAACCAAAAACGGACAGCTGTACCCATTCGGGACGTCCGTCTCTTACACCATTCAACACAACCATTGGATGCATCAGCCGGGGAAACGTACGGGAAGAACACTGCACAGGAGGAGTGGAACACCTGTGTAACCTTGTTGTCACCTGCAGTCTCCGCATGACCCCCACGGTCTGGACTACTATCGTTTTGTCATTCTTCTGTCCTTTGCCATGAACTTTCACGGTCTGGACTACCATCGTTTTCTCATTTTATTTTTGACTGGATGTCGTTCCTGGCCCATGACCCCCACGGCCTGATACTACTATCGTTTTTTCAGTTTTTTTTTTACTGGATGTCGGTCCTTCCACCTTCGCTATAATGACCAGTGCGGACATTAGAAGGGACTGAGTGGAGACCGGCACGGTGTTCAACGTGAAGACAACGACAACTACAACAACAACCAGCAGGGGTCACACAGACAGGAGGGAGGTTACACACAAGGGTGTTGGAACACACGAGTACCCACGATTCTTACCTGCAGTCTCCCATGACCCCGACGCTCTTGACGGGAAGCAGCACCGCGAAGGCCTGTCCGATATCCCGGTACACGTTGGCCCGGTTGAGCTCCTCTATCATGATGGCATCCGCCTGTCGTGTGGTTGTCGACGAGGCCGCCAAAGACGCCAAACACACAGCGTTGTTCATGGGGCGGACAAGGACACGAAACACAGAGATATCGTCAACTTGAGACAGTCATAACACGAAACACAGGGGTTTTCAACAAAGCAGGCCAGACACCAAAACATCGCGTTGTCAACAAGGGCCGGCAAAACAACGAACACAAGACCATAATAGGCCATGACAATACGGTGTTCGTGATTAAGACCGCCTCTTTCCGAGAGGACTCTCGAACGCTACGGTGCACAGGAGAGGGTAGTTCGACCCTATGACAAGGTCCAGCTTCTGTTAGATAGTGGCTCTCTCCTGGGAGGGGGGGTTCGACGAATTGTGCTACGGGGGGACAACAACAACGACACGCAAATAAACACGATAGCAACAACGACGACGATGACAGCAACACCGAAAGCAACACGGGAGTACACATGAAACAACACAGAAGCAACAGCAACAACACCAGCAGTAGCAGTGGCAGCAGGACAACAACAAAACTACACGACGATATCAACATAACAGAGCAACAGCAACAACACCATACTCATGAACATCAAATCAGCAGCAGCAGCAACAGCAGCAGCAGCAGCAGCAGCAGCAGCAGCAGCAGCAGCAGCAGCAGCAACAACACCACCACAAATGCAGAAAAAAAGGTGCATACAGTACCTCTCGTGCCATGGAAAGGTTCTCCTCGCTGAGCGGCGCCAGGCACCGGATGGCAAGGCCCGGGCCCGGGAAAGGATGCCGCCACACGCTGAACTCGTCCATGCCCAGGGCCATGCCCAACGCCCTCACCTCATCCTGCACGTGTGCGTGAGTGCCGTTGATGTTGGCAACGAAGGACCACGTCAACTAACCGGCTGACCAACGAAAAGACATCAGTGTCAGCGCCATTGAAAACAGACAATGCTGTAAATAAAAGGCCATCATAATCTGGGAACCCGTGTTTGTCTTGCTTAGCATTGACCGTGCTTGTCTTACTTAGCATTGACCGCCTCAGCTGACAGACCAATGAGTACAGCCAGTCTTTTCCCATACCGGAAAGGTTTTTAATGCCAAGACAACAACTACGACACGCGTGCGCCCAGTACAAGAGGGAGTCATGATGCCTCCGCATGCAAAGCTGCCCTGAGGGGCTCGACAAGCATGGTAAGACTCGGTATTGCTTTGTACAGATTTCTTGAAAAATGTCATTTTGGTTCGGTGAGGTTGGCCGGGTCCTTCGAGTTAAGGCACACCATCGGCTGAGCGAGCTGCTGAGCTTGGGGAACGTCACAACTGACCGAGCTACCAGCCAGCTGTGGGCTGCGTGATTCTCAGCTTGCACCATCACCGGTTGGTGACAGTGATATCTCGTGAGCGCACCCCGAAGGGAATCAGTCGTACACACACATTACCGACGACCAAAGCGGCTCTACAAGTTTAATTAAGCATTTTTTGTCACAAACCAACCAACAATGACAACAGCATCACCAACATCAGAACAACAAAACAAACAAACAAACAAAAAACGTTCGTACCTTGAACAGCTCTCTGAGTGGCTCGATGAGCTTGAGGTGCATCGTGTCAGGGAGCCCTCCGACCTGTGTTGAAGAAAGGCACGGCAAAGGGGATATCGAGAGGGAGCGCGGAAATTTCTTCGGGTGCGCGTGGCCAGCATGCAGCACATGCCAGTCTACCATAGGTTGCGTAAGATATCACACCCCCTGGACCGATTTTAGCTCGATATCTCGGCAGGAACAGCAGTGACGGTGAAGGAAAAGCAGTGACGGGGCATGAACAGCAGTGGCGGTGCCGAAAACGGCGGGAGGCGCTGGAACCGTCTCGTCGAGAGCTTTCCGAAAAATGTATTCTTCAGTTTCGGCATCCTCTTCGTCGTGGAGTCATCGAGCTTTGAAAATCGGTCCAGGGGGTGTGATATCTCATGCAAACTACGGTATTCCGGACTTGTGGATGTGGGTTTAGAAAAAACACTTGGTTGTGTTGTCTTGAACAAAAAAAAAGTCTGGAGCGCTTCATTGCTGGTGCGCGGCCAGCATCAAGCATTGCCAACCTATCCCGCTCTTATCTGCGGCTAGAGAAAAAAACTTCATTTGCGTCTAGAAAAACAACAAAAAAAAACTGAGGCGCTTCGTTCCTGGTGCGCGGCCAGACCGACCGCGGCTAGCTCTCACGTCGTGGCGGCTCTACTACAGCTATTAATAGGTAGGTAGGTAGCTCTCGCGCCGTGGTGGCTCTACTGCAGCTAGATGGCCAGCTAGCTCTCACGTGGTGGTGGCTCTACTCTAGATGGCCAGCTAGCTCTCACGCCGTGGTGGCTCTACTACAGCTAGATGGCCAGCTAGCTCTCACGCTGTGGTGGCTCTACTGCAGCTAGGTAGGTAGCTAGCTCTCGCGCCGTGGTGGCTCTACTGCAGCTAGATGTTTAGCTAGTTCTCACGTTGTGGTGACTCTTGATGGTGGCCGAGGGGCCCTTGTAGCTGATGCTCTCGATCACGTCCGGGTAGAGGGTTCCCTGCAGCAGGAAGTCCACCTTCCCGATGCGCTCCGCCTCCTCCTGCGCTCCGCAAAAAAAAACACAAAAACCCGGCAGCGGCGGCAGCATCAGCATCCGCATCCACATCAGCAGCAGCAGCAGCATCAGCAGCAGCAGCAGCAGCAGCATCAGCAGTAGCATTAACATCAGCAGGAGCAGCAGCAGCAGCAGCAGCAGCATCAGCAGCAGCATCAGCATCAGCATCAGCAGCCAAGACGTAATTGCATAAGTTTTGGGTGTACTTTTACCACGTTTTTTTCGACATCTCAAACAATAACAAAGTGTCGCGCCTGCCCCCTGCTTGCACAAACGTCTTTCCAAAAGGAATGAAGCATGAATCCCAAACACACACGCTGTTTACACTTGGTCGGCATGGTACATGCCTGAAGAGGCGCGTACGAAAAAGTCTTTCCGATGACCTCCCAACATCGCATTTTACCTGAAAGACGTGAATGAAAGTCTTCCCGATTATCTTCCGCTTCGACTCCGGGTCGGTGCACCCGTCAAGAAGGGTCAAGAAACGGTCCTTGGCGTCGACGCAGTGGAGGTTTATGCCCAGCTTCTCCTGACATGTCACAAAGAAGTACCGTGGGGACGCAGACACGCGCAATTCACGCACACGTTTTCAGTCGCGTTCAGCACCACCGCCCACTGATGCATCGACTATTTGCTACTACCACTACCAGCCACAGCGTCCTCTTCAACTAACGACTGCTGTCACCCATGCCGACGGCCTCCTCTCTCTAACCTCGAGACGACTTCAACTCACGCACAAAAACCAACCACTGTCGACTTCTACTTCTCATACTACTGCAATCCTCCTCCTCCTCCTCCTCCACCACCAGGAGTAGTCATCCATCCATCCCAGCGGCCCCCTCTCTTCTTACCTTGAGGTGACTCCAACACACACACAAAAGACGCACCCCTCACGGGGCCCCAGCCCATGACACTAAGAGGCATTCTCTGTCTTCAACCGGACAGAAACCCGCCTGTTCGTAGCTCAGCCGGTTAGCGTGGTTGACGCTAGAAAAAAGCGGCATACACACAACTGCTGTCGCGCCGACAGGAGTACCCATTCACCCATCCCAGCGGGCGTCTCTTTCTCGCCTTGAGGCGACTTCAACATACTGATGTACCGACTGCTACTACTACGACTACTACGTCCTCCTCAGCCGACGGTTGTCATCCATCCCATCGGCCTCCTTTCTCTCTGCTTGAGGAAACACCACCACTGATGCCGACCACATCCTACTGCTTTCCACTTCCACTTCTAGTACTACCACCACCTTCCTCTTCTACCGGCATCACCAGCACCACCCTCTACTACCACCACGTCTTCCTCAACTAGCTGTTGCGGTTGTCATCCATCCACCCCGACGCCCCCCCGTCTCTCACCTTGAGCCGGCTGACCACCTCCACGGCCTCGTTCTTGCGCAGCAGGCCGTTGTCCACAAGCACGGCGTGGAACCTGTCCCCGATGGCCTTCTGCAGGAGGACAGCCGCCACCGAGGAGTCAACCCCGCCGGAGACCGCTCCGATCACCTGTCCCTCCGGCCCCACGAGTTCCCGCACCTTTCGG